GTGTAAGCAGAACTATCACCTGTGTGACGTATCACGCTCGTTGCCATGGCTCTGCAAGGCTGAGGGGCAAAGGATTCAGATATTGCTGGCTTCTGGCTGCACTGTCGCTCCATGTTTATAACAGATGGCTTGGTTATGGGAGAGGCACCAGTTGCTGATGTGACTGAGCAGGCGGCTGTATTTGCCATGACAGTCCTCGGCTTGGAGTAAGTGACTTGTGAGGAGAGGAGCATAGCAGCTGATATCTCAACAAAGTCAGGACTATGCGGAGGGGTCATGCACTGCAAAAAAGGAAAACACCATTATACAGCAGTGTAATTTCATAGCACAATTTTTCACTATCTTTACTGTGAAAAATAAAATTACAGCCCCTCCCCAGAATCTCAGAACCCGCCTCTTGGGACAAACTTATTAAAGCATACATTGCCTCATCTGATGGCCATTCTGAATACGCTCAAAAGCATATTAATAAAAGGAAAGCAATGAGGCAGATGTAAACCTGCATAAAACATTGCATGTCTACTCGCTGTGCTACAAAAAACTTTCTTGCTCCTTCCTCCTCAGCAATGGGTGCAGCTGTAAGAGGCTATGAGCGCTCTGCTGTTCACAGAAAACAGACTAGTGACAGATAGCGACACCGTACCATTCCAGTTTCAAGCTTCCAGCAAGCCCTAGATCTTTTATCCATGATTACCCCATCAACCAGTGGCTACTTCTGAGATGAAGACAAATTGAGCTGCTCTCTGCCTTCTTATTCATCCATTTCTCTCTATGCTCTCTTGCTGTCACCACCTCTTGTTCTCCTTTACCACTGAAAACTCATGCCTATCTCTTGTGCTGCTCAAGAGACAGTGCCAACACTGAGCGGCAGGAGTATGAGAGAAGTCCATCAACCACCTCAGCTCTTTCCTCTATTATTCCCCTTTTCCCTGACATAACTGCATATTAGAAGCCTACTGGTTGAAATGGGCCTTAACCATCCGAAACCTGAACGGCACCAAGCCCTTTTTTAATACCTACTTTTGTTACAACATAAATGGCAACCAAAAAAAATTGTGATTCAGCTGATGTTAGTCAGCTGGAGTAGACCAATGCTCGGGAGAAATAACAGACTACATGTACAAACACATAGCATAGAAACTAATTCAATTGTCTATTTCATAATGGTAACCTGTACTTTCTCTTATAACAACCAGAGTGAAGCCGGATGTCATCAAGAGCCTTTTTCATGTAGTGCTTGCAGATAAGTCGGTGCCGAATCACTGAGACTCACTCTGCCATCCTTACTCAAAGTGCTCCAAGAAACCTACAAGAGCCATCCAGACAGCATCCTCAGCTCACCTGTCAAACTAAATAACCTGCCAGCAAGGGCTTTCACATCTAGATTTAACAAGGGATCAAACTCCTACATTTGCCATTCCAGAGACACAGAAAACCCCACACTCAGCATGCCCACACCTCACTAGTCTATGTACACGCACACACAGAGCACTGGCTATACTGTAGCTATTCTACACAGGGACACATGAGCAAGCTATCTTTTCTAGCCAAGTTAGAACATTGCAGAAATGTAACATCCAGATGTCAGGCATATTTATTTTGCCTTCATGTTCTTCTTACCAGTGTAGATAAATAGTCCTTTGGTAATTCAGACGTAGCCTCAGCGTGCATTGTGAAATCACCAGAATCTGAGAAGGGCGTAAGTGGCCTTATCTTTAATATGTCACCTTTCTGCGATCTTTGACCCCAGGAGCTCATACAAACAAGCGCTTCAACGGCTTCAATGTCGTTCTGCTCCAAGGTGCTGCAGGTAGACCTTTCGCTGTCATGACGCTGCCTTTCACGGATAGACTCATAGATGTCCACAATGTCAACCTAAATGTAATCGGATTACTGGCTGTTAGGACAAGTCAGAATACAAAGCCGACACCACCCACATACTGTCTGCTCACGATGAAGGTCATCTGAAACAGATCCCAAGCCCGCGGCAAGACTTTTACCAACCAGCTCAACTCTTACCCTCCCCCCACCAGCTCATCTCCTCACCCATGTTACTCAAAAAAGTATTATTTGCAGGAAAGGAACAGGTATGTGTGCAGCTCACGTTTTCAGAGTTACTTTCCTGGATTACACTGCTCTGAATAAACACATCCCACGCCTGCATACAAACAAAAAGAGGAAAAAAAATCCTGACTTCCAACGTTGTTTAGACAAGGCTGTTTCCTGGACCCAAAAGACAACTGCTATTCAGCACTAATCTCATTCTGGTAACATTTAGAAGATAAATTTCAGCTGACAGTAAGATGCTTTAACGTATGATCACAGATTCAGAGTACCACACCTCGCAAAAGCATTTTAATCTTATTTTCACCAACAGGGAAGCAAGGAAAATAGTCTTCAAAGTGCAGTGGGAGTTATTTGTATTGTACTTTAGAAAGGTATGATACTACATTGGTGCTAGGTATCCCAAAACACACTATGGGTAACATGAAGACAAATGTAATCATATTCATTTGCTTCCAATTGCAAGCATCACAGAAAATTTGTGTGTGTGCATGTGTATGCATGCATGCAAAACACTTGACTTCTCTGTGAAAGGATACCCAAACTTCATCAAGCTCACTCAGTGCTTGGCAGCGACTTCAAAAGCTACGTTGCGCTGTTTGTTTATTGCTCATGTGCTATCTCAGTCTCAACTAGGTGGCCAAACTCTTCCAGTCTTTAGGCACACCAACTAACTGTGAAGGCTGGGATTCAGAAGCATGGACCAAGATTCTTGAGCATGATGCTGTTACACAGCGTGCTTAGATACTGCAGCAAAAGGGTTTTAACTAAAAAAGTACCACCACACCGTTAGCACGGCCCAAGGCCCTAGAGGGAACTATACTTGGGGGGTAACATCACTTACACACCTAAGTCAACAAGTTTTGTTACTGAGTTAAGTAATGTGGAATAATCCTGGCTCAACAGGGTCACAAAGATGCAAAGCTGTGTGACACTGTCTCCACTATAGGGACCTGCGTGGCCAACATGTTAAACATCACCAATCCAAAATGCCAGTACTGGACCCACAGAGGACTTTCGCCTAAAACAAGAGGTACCATGCATGGAGATATCAAGGCTGGGGGCAGGAAGGGGTTAAAGCACTCTAAAGCAGGGATCCACGCGATTAACTGCCCCGAGAGAGACTTCTAAGAATTTCCACTGAAAACAAGAACGAGGGCAAAAACCGATGTCACCTGCAAGCCTGGACCTAGACCGCCTGTCAAACGGGAGCCACACCAGGCGAGGCTCTGCACTAAGCAGCCAGAAAGCCTGTGAGCATTCCTCAAAGTGTGATTGCAGGCAGCCAAGCCAGCAGATTTCTTTTTCCCCAACCCTACGTTTCAGGAGAGCAGTTTTCCCTAAAGAAACATGAAAAAATATTCCCCGCTTCAATAAAACCACCCTAAAAAAGCCCTTTCTCAAGGCGAGCGCTGCAACCCAGGCTCTCCCGCTGCCAGGGAAATGGCTAACCGCGCCTGGCCGCCTGTCCTCACATCACCCCGCCGGCT